CAGCTCATGGAGAGTAAAGCAGGACAGACGTTAGCTTGATGTTTTTAACAGTGTTGTGGCTGCTAATGAAACATGATCTGATCTGGTACATATTCAGAGAGTGTTGCCAGTGTCTGCAGCAGAATAGACTGTCTATAATGTGAAGATGCAATTGATTCGTCATTATGTTATGTATACAGGAAAGTACAAGTATTCTGTTTGATTTTGTTCCTGTTGAGAAGGAACTCAGATAAAACATACAAGAAATAGTGTGGGCATTTTTGGCAATGAAAAGGTTTTCTTTTTGCCTGCCCTTGGCCCCCCAAAAGTAATGGAGCTGTCCAGCTTGATAGGTAGCATGGGCAAGTTTTAAGAATCCCATTATAAAATAAAGAAAGAGAATTTTGCTTTTATAAGGAAGAATTGCAGAATTGGAAATGATCCATATTTGGGACATAAATCCAAGCTGTTATGCAGATCAAAGTATCTATTTGGAGCTGAATTACTCAACAGCATCTATCTATGCCTCTTCAACACCTGCAGATTAGCAATGTAATCGTGTGGAGGTTGCTATAGCTACATCTCTAGAGCAGGTGGAGTTCTTCATCTCTTGGAGCATTATGTTCATTCTTTGCAAATAAGCCATATAAAGTTTATTTAAAATGTCACCCTAGCGCATCAGCCCCTCTCTCTAGCTGACACTGTCATGTCAGATCTGTCCTTATCCTATTAGTCCTGATTGTTTTCAATATAAACAGTACCATTTCCATCTGAGCATCATGCCTTCACCAAAACCTACATGTGAATGGGCACCAAGGTCATAAAGCAAGTGCCTGAGTTTAAGGTGAGAAGAGCTGTTCATCTAGCAGAAATGTAGTCTTGCCTTGGGGTTGATGGCATGCAAGACTGTGAGCTGAACACATAATAAAACTGCCAGCCTTTGGCTACAACACTTTCCAAGGTCTGACCAACTGTTCAGACAGTGGGAGTGCTGCTTCTGATGGTTTTCAAGCTGGTTGTTTGCCTAAGTCTTTTCCCAAACAAGGGAAATATTGCATCAAATACTTTAGCCTGCTTGTTTGGGCTCTTCCACTGTTTACTACAGCAAAGGGTTGCTCGGATGACCCTTCCTTCTAGCTGTCTGTCTGCAGTGACTGGCATATGCTGTAACCCTTAACCCTCTGCCAGTCAAGCCCACAACATGCTAACCTGTGTGAAAACTCAATAGCAATCCCTGTACAAAAAGCCAATAGCCTAAAAGAAGAGCCCTAACAAGTAGAAAAAAAGAGACAAGAAGGGAAAGTACCAAAGAGCAAACAAACAAATCAGGATGCTTTGACTTGCCTAATTTTGTAATTTTGCTCTAGGTCTGCAAGCTTTTCATTGCCCATTGAGGGCAGGTGAGGAAAGATTTGTAACTAAAAATTATCAACAGCACCAACAACAGTGGATGTTTTGTCTCCCTGGCAAATTTCAATTTCCGCACTAGAAAGGTGAATATCAGAAAATAGTCCAAACATAGTTATACTTCAGTAGCTTTTCAATGGAGAGCTTCAGTTCTCCCCAGACAGCAGATGCTTTTGAAAGGGTATTCAGCAAAAAAGTAAAAAAAAAAAAAGCCAAGCAAAGTAGAATTTCCAAGTACGTCCTTAGCACTGTTTTCACTTATTCTGTATCATTCCTGGTTTTGTCCCTTGAGTTGTGTCTCTGATACAGACTTTTTAACGTTTTCCAAATTCCTGAAATATGTATGCTCCTTGGAGCCTTCTAACCTTTGTCTGCCCTGAAAAGCAGAGCTTGAAAATTTATTTCCATAAATCCAGGCAGATAAGAATATGTCATATTTCTCTGAGACAAATCCATCTTCCCATCAACTGGTTCATTACATGTCACAGAATCATAGAATCAATTAGGTTGGAAAAGACCTTTATTTTTCACTGTCTTCAGACTGTTACCTTTCAGGCAGTTTCTTCTATATGCTCCCCAGACTGCTGGTACAGATGACAATAATGAAGAGTCCACTCAGTAGAAGAGAGGCTTTTTAGTCACTGGTCTTTCCCCTTATTTTGGGAATGGCTGTTGAAAAAGGTGAGCTAGACAGAGGCAGTAAGGAGGAAATCACATCAGCCTCGCCTTTCTTCTGATCCTGTTTTGGTGATAACTGGCAATCAAAATGTTGCCAAAAGCAATGATGTATATTCTGGCTTTGAAAAGGGTATAGGTTTGAAGCACAGAAATGAAGCCAGCTACAGCAGTGTGTGCTGCAAGAGATGGCTCCTTCTATCTAGATGCCAAATTCCCATCAGCACTGAGTCACAATAGAGCAGGAATTAAGCCTTGGTAAATGAGCAGCTTGGGGAAGGTGTGCCCAATAGACAGCTGTGGAAATGGATTAATTTGTTTTTCAAGCTTCAAGTCCAGAATAGGGTGTTGGGGTTGTTGTTTTTTTTTTTTTTTTTTTTGCTCCTTGAGATGTTTGTTTTTATTCTTCAAGGTTTATTATAATTTGTAAACCCTTGATTTTGTACTACACCAGATTAAGAGTAACAGTTGTTCGTGATTTAGCTGCCAGGAACTTCAGTTTGCTTTTTGTGGCCTGCCTGGCAAACAAAAGGTGCACGCAAATTTGCTATAATCATTAGGAACTGATGACTTCCAGAAAGACAAATGCATTGACAGGGTTTTTTTTTGCATCCTGTTGTTCATGAATCATCCTGCCACATAACAACCATGACCAAGGTTTTCAAAAGCAGCTGGCAATGTGGGAGACTGTGGTCCCCCACCTTGAGACTCCTGAAGTGGACTTCCTTCCCTGAAAGCAACCCTTCCTGAAAACATCTCCAATCAAGCAAATAAAATTTCAGATATACCCCATATCACTAGGCACTTTTGAAGCAAGCAACCTTAACCATCAGAAATGAAGAACGTGGTCTTAATAATTGCCAGTGTGATCCTATTGCCCACAGCATCTGCAGAGCTTTTTCTGAAGGGAAAAAAATCTTGCTTGGAAGTCTCCTGGGTGATTCTATTATAGAGAAAATAAAAGAAAGTCAGTCCTTTTGAAGTGATAGCAATCAGAACGTAGGCTGAGGTATGATCCTTTTTCTTGCCTAAAAGGAATGCAAAAGGAAGATAAAATACTACAAAATATGGCATCTGTTTCTGTCTTAGGCTGGCCAAGGTCAGGGGAGGAAGCTGATCTCCATCTCACAGTACAGCACCATGCTTACAGTCCCCAGGCTTGGTGATGGACACAGCCTGTCCCATGCCCTGCCATGGGGGTCCATCAGTGGGAGAGCAGTCCCATGCTAACCTGACACATCCACCACTCGCTGCTGTCAGGAGCCTTGGGTGGGAGCCTCGAGCACTTGCACCTCACTGCTGGCAATTCAGAAGCTGAGTATCTGTGACGCATCACCCACAATTCACAACACAGCTTCCTGTCTATTCCCATTGCTATGGAAATTGTTTCTTGAGGCAGCCTTGGTTTTCCTTTCATCAATCAATTAGGGGCAGGCTTAGCATTGGGTTGTCTGTTCCCCCAGCACTCCTCCATTTGATATTAGTTTCTCCATGACAAATTAACCACAGCTAGACTGCAAGAAAAAAAGAAAAAAAAAAAAAAAAAAAGACATAGTAAGCACGAGAAGCAGGAATAAAGAGATATTTTGAAGGGGAAGGAGTGGCAAGAGGACTTGACAGCTGCCCATGGAAGAGGATGTTCTCTGGTTGCCCAGCTGGTCAGTCATGCTATCTCCCAGGGTCAGGGAGGCTAACAGTGTGGTGCGAAATCCATAGCTCCTGGGTGTATTAGTGGTGATACTCCTTGTTATGCTGAGCTATGTAACCAGCCGGGAGCTTTGTGGAAAAGTCTGGTAATGAGGCTCTCCTTTATCCCTTTACCACAGACTCGGTCAAACCAAGACTCCCATGTTCTACACAGGGATATGTTCCCTCAGGGAATAAAGGAAAAAAAACAGAAAATGTTCTTTTTTTTTTCCCCTACTATAACAATCTGGTATCAGGAGCTTTGAAATTCTCACATCTTGAGCTCCTATAGTTCAAACAAACTTATTTTACATTTTCCGTCTGCTTTCCCCCACCTTCTATGCTTCATTGCTGCAACAGTCTCCCATAACACATTAACAGATTAAAAACAACCTTCTGCCACCCTTCATCTACTTTGGCCAGTTTAAAACTAAACAAACTACCCTAGGCACTGCAGAGTAGAGAAAGCAATGTGTGCATATGGGCTCTGACCTAAAGGGAACAATTCTAATAGAAAGAGGCAGCAGGTTATTTGTATTTCCAAGATTTCTGATTTTGCAGCCCCCCTTTTCTGCTGCTTTTTTTTTTTTTTTCATTATGCTAAAACAGTCAGCCAAAGGTCCAGAAAGGAAATAATTACAGTTACTGTGTGATAGGAACAATGATTCATGAACAACAGGACACAAGAAAATCCCATCAATGTGTTCATCTTTCCTGAAGCAATAGGGTCCTAATGATTAGAGCTGAGCGAGCAGCAGGGAGAGTGATGCATGAAGAGCAGAGCTGTGTTTTGAATTGGCCCTGAGTGCGGATGTTTCTTGAATAGCTCTTGGGCTATTAACTGCCAACTTGAGCTGTATTTTGGGAGGACCTTTGACTCACAGACATTAGCGAGGAGTGAGCACAGCATCATATGCAGTAGCAGATATGACCCTGAAGCAACTGCAACCTGTGTGCTGGATCTACCTGCCTGCAAGGAAAGGTGTGAGGAATCCGAGGAATACAAGGTCCTGGAAATACATCTTAATATCATAGATGTTCTTGACAAATTAACTGCAATGACTGTATGAGAGGAGAATATTGTACAGGAGCAAAAAAACCTGTAGGGTATGGGACAAAAAATGGCTGGGAGATACATCCTCTGCCCACCCAGTGGCTGATGGCTCAGGTGCCCGAAGTCTGGTTGTGCAGTGGGCAGAGGAGGAAAACTAGACAAGAGCAACCACAGCACCGCACTAGTACGCAACACTCACCTGTAGAAAGGGCCATGTAGTTGGGCCGCATAGCTGAGCAATTGCCATCCCAGCTCACAGCCACTACTGGTTTTCAGCTATGATACATCTCAGTCTTCACACAAAATGTTTTGTGAAGCAACTTAACATACAAATCCCTTTAGCAAGAATGTGGAGCAGGTTTTTCTCAAATGATTAAGAATTTGGTTTAAAGTTCACTTGTGCTGGCTATTGAGCAATGTTAACCAGGTTCAATCAATCTAGTGACTGGGCTGGACGGCAAATTATAGAAATTTCTGGGTAACCTGAGCTGACATAAAATCTGTTTCCCCATTGTGCTCACTTGAGCACGTGCAAAAATCAATAGCTCAGGAAGCCTTTCAATGCCTCTGTCCCCATGTGAACTCCATTTTCTTCCCCAGCTGCTACTCATTTACCTACCAAGGCAGCCAGATGCTTTCCTGTGGTTGCTGCCAATGTTGCGTCATCAAAGGTGAACTGCTGTCAAGACACTGCAGAATACATGCTGAGAGACTGAGCTTACTCGGAAACCATTGTTTGCTTCCCCAGATCTTCACACACATCTGTACTTATTCACCCGTGCACATAATGCTTAGAAGAGCAGCTGTTATGGGGAGAACCATCTCAAACAGATGCATCTTGTCTGATTCCCCCAGTCCACACCTTCTGCCTCCCTCCCTCTGTGAGGTGCACCAAATTTCAGGGCAGACCAAAAAATCCTACTTGTTTGAACCTATCCAGGAACTGAACTTGATCAAAAAGGCATCCCTGCCAAAACAATAAAGCAAGGAAGGTTTGGAATATTGCTGTCTCCTCTGATTTGATATAGAGCTGTTCATCGCATGTGGAAAAACATAGCATCTTGTTCGACAAGTCCTAGAGCACTCTACTCTCTCGTGTTGCTGCATGGCTTCATGTCTGGCATAAATCAAGGACCCTAAGCTGATCTAATTTCTCTTCTACTTAATATGTGCAGTTTTTAATGATATGTTAAGGATTGTTTTTGTTGTTTTTTCCCCTGCATCTGAATTTGAAAACAGTTCCTGGCAATGGAGTATTGAACGAAAACTTTGAGATTGATGGATTTGGTTGGTTTTGCGGGGGGAGGTAAAAGACGTGTCAGGTCTGACAATTGTACTTTATATCCCTACTTAGTAAGTAATTTTCTTTAAGATTTAAATACTCTCCTGGATGGAATTAAAATTGTACTTTTCCAATTTAGTGCACATTAGGACTTGTAAATTCTCTGGTGGTACAATAGCCTGGGGACAATGCCCATTAATATCTGTTATTTTCTTGCTATCATAATTCTTAAGGCCTGTTCCACAAATACTTCACATAAATGCTTAGTGGCAATTCCCTCAGAGCACTTAGGATCATTAGAGTGGCAACAGAAAACAGTTATAGCCTTGGATTTTTTTATTTGCTCTGCCAAATCATTTAGCACAAAATATTAGCATCAAGATGGGAGCAGTCATCTCCCATTCCCCTGCTCTGCAGCTCTGAACAGAGAGCTCCCATGTTTTCTGCTTTGGGACCAATTATTTTGTGTTATACATTCCTTTAAAATTCAGCCTTTCTTTCATGCATGAAAATTTCAACACTCTATTTCTCAGCTTTCAGCGTTACTGAACAGCAACAAGAGTTCCTGGCCACACTGATCTGCACAGCCCTGCTTGTGTGGGGAAGATGCTCCCTACTCAGTACCACCTCTCTCAGGGTAGAGGTGGCTGTTGTGGGTGGGGGTGTGGAGAAGACATGCTCACTGTCCCACTGCTTTCCTGTGCAGGTAAAGCCTTCAGCTTGACTGGAGTCAAGGGAAACCTGGTCTCCATGCCCACACGAATCACACTGCAGTCTTGGGGTTTAATTCTGGATAAACCAGAGGTTTCCTCCTTGAGGCACCCTTATGCTCTCCTTCTTCAGTAACCAGCCTCAGTTCAGGAACCTTTCTGCACTGGTTGGGTGTCAGCTGGTTGGTACTGGGGTTCTGGAGGCCTGGATGATGAAATGCCTGATCCACGGCTGTCCACAGTCTTGTGCTGCTGAAAAAACGCTCCAGCACTGACATCCACTTGCTTATCTAAATACAGGCTAACTTTTTGTCTGTTTTCTCTGAGCTGCTGTGGGCTTTGTTTCCAGTAGGCGTATTACTTGATTAATGAGCTCTCTGTTAACACTTGCTTATATTCCATATGGGATCTTCTTGGGTTATCTAAATGCACAAATACTTACAACAACCTTTTTTTTTCTTCTCAGCTCAACTGTTTTCAGTAGCACAATATATTTCTCCCCCTCTCAATGGAAAAAAGAGCATTTTCCAGTTTGTCAAAACTCACACTGAACATTTCTTGTGATTCATGTTGTCACCTAGTGCAGTATTCCAAGAAAACATCATGGACAGGCTCTGTCATGAAGGGTTTTATAATGTATTTGTCATTTCTTTTCTGTCTAGATTAAGGGCTAAATTTTGTGACGGCAGATGAATTTGTAGACCCCATCTCTCTAAAATCACACCATCTATTCAAAAGAGGGACACTGTTTTTCTTTCAGCCAATGATAATAGCAGTTTCCTGGATGCAAGTCGAAAAATATTTACATCAGTATAAATAACCAGTGTGTAACTATAAATAAAAAGCACGGGTAATAAAGTGTTATCATTGAAGCTGAAATTAAAATTGAATCCTGCCAAGCCCTAAACATAGATCATGACAGAAAAATCCAATACACTTTTTTTTGGAGGTGCTGTAATTATAGACTAGGTAAAGGAAAAAAAAAGATTATACAGCAGACATAATTTGTAAAGATTTCAGAACATTTCTGATGTAATGCTGTGAAAAGAATGACTTCTTGTGCATAGCATCTACACATGCTTCTACATGCCACTGCTGAAAGGTGTCATATGCAGCATTTACCTTTTAACCCAAGCGATGTCATGGGCTGTTATGACCACAGGCTGTATGACCATGGGTTGTATGACCATCGCTGTATGACCCCATGCCTGTTTCTGAAGAGGATGCATCGGGACCTGCCAGGGCTGATCCTGCCCCTGATCGCTGCAGCCTTATCCTTCAACCTGGGGAAGCCCCCAGAAACAAATTGGGAAGAAGTTTCCAAACCTGTGGAGAAGCGCCATGTAACCAACGGCGAGGTGACAGCATGCTGACTGTGATGTCATGTAGTTGTTGCTTGGGGCCACCCCTCCATCCCCACAGCTAAGCGATTCCTCTTACCCCACCTGGGGTCCTTGCTCTCAGCACAGGCCACACTTGCCCTCCCTGTCTCTCCTTTCTTGCAGGTAACTAACTGCTTGGTGCCTGGTGGTTTTGCAAAGGGAGATAAACTAAGCCCTGGGGCAGAAGGGTTTGTATATTGTCTACACTTAAACCCAGGCCTTTTATCTCAAAGAAAGTTACTTCTTCATCTCAAGGGCTTGGTCTGAGCTTTGTGTCCTTCACTGGCAGAGCAGGAAAAGATTTATATCCTCTGGGAGCATAGACTGGGGTGGAAAAGCACAGGTGGGCTCAGAAACGCCCCCAGAGCTGTTGACACCGAAGTGGAAAGCATTCTCTTTAAGTTATCAGGAGTGGAGTCTCTTGTCACCTCTCTGGAAAGCAAGGCTTGAGGCCAAAAACAATTTCACGTACTTCAATAGCTGAAAATAAAGCTTTAAAAATAAGAACATGTCAGGAAATTAAATGAGAACCACAATTTAGCAGGGCTAGCGATTGCCCAGGAGAATATTGAGGAAAACTGTACAGAGAAGAGGAGTTTTGAGGCCCAGTTAAGTGAATTACTGGTCCCGTCCGTAACATTCGTTATAGTCCTGGCTGCTGGATATTCACTTTCAAAGAAATCAGCTTCAACTACTGTCTGTTGAGGAACCCTCAATCATATGTGCAAATGCAATTACTGAAAATGAATCTGTCAGAGCAAATCTCACATAATGAAGGAGTCCTGTTTGGGCTCCTCTTCTGAACTTATTTTACCTCAGGGATAACCTAAACCAGTGTTCCTCAAACCCACTGGGAATGAGCAACACAGGTAGAAGCCTGACTTACTAAGAAGGTTAATGAAACTCCAAAATACTTGCCATAAGCTGGTAACGGTATCTGGGAGTCAGCCATCCACAGGGAACATCGTATGGTGTTATCTTAGGAGCTCTACACAAAAATCAGGATTATTTTAGTGCCAAATAGCAGACATAGCCTGATGCCATTTCAGAAGCACAAGCAGCCCTAGTCAGACAGCATATGTCCAGAGGTCCTTGCACCTTCATGCAGTAGCAGGTACTTGACAGGCCTTTGGTGCACAGCACGTGACATGATTTGTAAAGTGAATACAGCTGAGGAATGGTCATGAGATCTTCATTTGCTCCTTTGAGCTAAGCCCATTGACTTAGATCTCTGAGGTCTTTCTTCATTTAACTAGACCTCTATTTAGTTGTGCCTTTCTTATTATACATGGGATTGCCTACAACTTGGATTTCTCTTTGATCTATACAAGTTTCTGTAGGAAATTATGCATAAATATATCAAAAGCTATTGACAATGTCAAGAAAAGAGTATGCTGATATTTCTGGGCTTCAGACACATTTTGGAAATTTTAGGTTTTCTGTTACTGTTTTGGGTTTTTTAAATGAAACTTTGCTCAAGGGACTGCTGTTGACTGAGGCTGCACAGCATATGCTTGCTTCAGTCCCTGCTCCACACAGCAAAGACTCATGGAAGCCCACTGAGCCACAACTTCTGATTAACTTCAGGCAAATGTTTCAGACCTCTCCTGAAAGATGATGAACTGTTTTTCAGAGCAATGATTTCTGTAGTGCAGAAAACAAGGCAGGTATTGTCTCCTCACAGCCTTTGCAGAACACCTTTGCCCCTAAAGGCTGTATAGCTCAGATGAAAATGCCCACATCAAAGTTTAGATTTTACAAAGACTTCCAACTTTGTTTAAAAAAAAAAAAAAAAAAGATATTAGGGTTTGTTTCTTTACCTTCTCTCTTTTTAGTCAAGTTTGGGCAAGAGGGAAAATTTTAAATACAAGTCCTATATTTAATGAAAAAAAGATCGTATTTTTCTTTCTTTTCCAAAAAGAAAATAAATACTACCTTCAATTATTTATCCTAATATTTTCATTCCCCTCTGTACTCTGGACATTTGAACCATATGAGGCAACTATGTGTTTAACCTTGCTAACACTGAAAGCAATAAAATATGAAATGAATAGGTGAAAAGGGATAGTAAATCCCTATTGCAGAATTATCTGGCAGGTTTGAAGTCACAGGAAGATGTCAACAAAATAAAATATATTTAATATTGATGAATGTGACAGTAATGCACCTGGAGAGAAATAACAATCAGCACAGGCATTTAGAAAACATTAATATAGGAAAAGACCTTAGGGTTATAGTGGGTAATGAAAAAAGTACGAGCTCACATTGTGAGAAGAGCAATTATATCCCACGGTGTATAGAGTAAAGAGGGACCTGTTGTGTGACAAAAAGGGAGAGATGAGTGCAGCATTATGCAGTTTGGGTAAGGCTGGAGCTGGAGCACAGCATGCATTTTTAAGCTTCATTTTCTAAAAAGGACACTAAAAAGTGGCAGAGTACTTAAGGATGAGCAGTGGGAATGGTGAAGGGAACTGCAGGTGATGGCTGTGGTGGAACGCAATTCACAGGGTGGGCTGGAGCACCAGGTAGCACTGGGACAAGAACTGATATTTGTGTGCCATTAAGATGGACCTTCCCTGCAGCAGAGATGGTAAATGGATCCTGTATTAAAAGTGGAACAATCCCATTTAGATACAACATAAATGACTTAATAATAAGGGCTGCTACACAGGTAACAGAATAAGCTGTCTGGTGAGAAACTGAACGTGAGTCACTGTTAGTTAAGCGTTTCCGAGGCGAGACTGGAAAACATACTGCAGAAGAGGTCTCTCAGCATTGTTTGAGCACAGCTGATCTAAAAGGTCCTTTGCTGTCATTTTCGTCTGTGATTCTGGGAATGCAAAAAGTGACTTTACACGGAACAGGAGAGGCGATACACTCATTTTATGAATTAAATCCATCTGCCACACATGATAAGCCTACACCATGAGAGGGACAAAAGGTCTAGCCCTACAAGCCTCACCCCAGCTGTCCCATCTGCTCTACAAGTGCTTGTATGTGCAAGTCCAGGAGCTAGAGATGCTGTTTTCAGAGTCATCCTCAGAGGTGGCTTTTACCACACGCATTTGCAGAGGAAGCTGGCACAGCTCCTGTCTATTTCGAAACGTCTGCTTCTGGAATTTGCAATGCTTGTACCAGTTAAATACTAAATTATCATAAAAGTAATTTACATGTTTCCCAAATAAGGGAATGTGAGTGGAGAAGAGGGTTTTTGAATGTTCGTAGTTCCAAATTAAAGGAATGTAAATGAGCCTGCTGTTCAATTCAGTGTGTAATGTGTTATTTCACGGTTGTCTCCTTGATATTACAGGCCCCTTTTACATTAGACAATGTCACACCCCACCCAAATCACCATGAGATAAGGATGTTCCCCTTTAATGTAATAAAAGACAACAACAGTATTCCAACAGAGAAAGCAGCATGCATACAGATTTGGTACAAATGCATCATCCCCTGCTGGAAAGACTCCATCGTGTCCCCTTCACCACAACATGCAGTGTTACGTAGCACCTTTCATCAAAAAGCTCTTCATGGCAAAGCTCCCATTGGCTCCCCATCCCTTCCTCCAGCTTCCCGAGGAAGCAGCTTCTTCAGCTTTCCATGGAGCGGTCCGTGTCCTGACAGTATGGGCGTGATGCTCAGAGCACAGCTCAGCCTGCTTCTTGACAGAGGATTTTTGCTCTGCTTGTTTTTCCCATGTCCTTATAGCCAAGCAGAGAAAAATTATAGGGTGGCTCAAAATTCATTCATTAGGAGCTGCTGGCAACTGTTCCCTCCCATCCTGGTTATCTTTAAAGGAAAAGCAGGCGCTGTGTGTAGTGTGGTTAAAAGGCCAGTGGGAGGAGAGCAAGGGAATGATTTATTAGACTTTAAGTCAATCATAGCTCAGTCTGGACAACCATAAAACATCTTTACTTCTCCCAATAGGTGAAATTTATAGGGCTGTTCACTGCAAAGTGAAATGCTCCCACAGGGTGAGGGGAAGTATCGAGAGTTTCCTATTCATTTAAGGGGAAATGTGTTGCTCCTTGCTCTTCCCTCCCCAGTTTTACTTTCCAGCAGACAGCCCCATAAATCTGTTTCAGTGACAGCTCTTTGGTGGTGTAGTGAAGCAGAGCAAGGAACAGTGCATTAGGGACCAGGCAGAGCTCACACCCTGCTGCTCATGCAAAGGCCAGTCCTGCAGGGCAGTTCCTGTCCCTGCCACAGCCTCAGGGTTTGCGTGGGTGGCTGAAGACAGCCCAAGAATCTGCTCTGACCATTTCCTCACTTCTCTGAGCTGCTGGACCTCTTGGGGCGCCCACAGTGCCAAGGGCGTTGCAGCTGCCCCCTGCTTGTCCCCAGTATGCCACAGCCACCTTTCTGCAGGGGCTTGAGAAAAGTGGGAGAGGAGCCTCAGGTTCCCTTTGTATTACAGTTACTGACTCCCACTATTTGCACTGTCCCTCCGGGAGAGATTTCTCCTGCATCCACCGTTCTCTACTCTCAGCTGGGCAAGGAGTACCCAGCTGGGCAAGGATGCATGTGTCCTCCTCAAAGGGACTGATCTATCACATTGAGCCCTCATGCCCTCCGGAGAGTCGTCAGACACATTGTTTTGGGGAGGAGGGTGGCTTCCTCACCCAGGAGTGTAAAGAGCATCCAGAGCATGATGCTGTCACCCCAGGAAATATTGGAAAATCCTGCACCATTTCCTTCAGCTCCTGACACCATAGAGTAAGCTGCATGAGACACTTTCTTGGAGGGAAGTAGGTGGCCTCCCAACAGCGTCTAGCTGGACAAGGTCCTCCTGGTGCCCCCAGGAGCTTTTAAACTGAGCTGGTGGAGGAGTGACAGTTTGGGGAAACTGACCCTTTCCTGTGCCTTAGTAGGAGCCAGCTCAGGACAAAATGATCCTGTTATCCTGGGTCCCTTTCACTTTCTAACATTTGCTTTGGCTGAGCGAGTATGTCTTTATACAAACACAACTCCTGTGTGTGATTTTCCCACCTTCCTTTGACCATATTGACAGCTAAATGATGGGGACTGCACATCCTGCAGAGGCAAAACTGCATGACACAACACAGGCCAAATTATAACTGGGTGACCCTGATGTAAATGCAGCCCCATGACACTTATATTCATGTATCTTCCAGATTCACATCATTATCTCTGAAAACACCCACTGCTTTTCATACTGCAGTATCTCCCCACAGACAAGGGTAAGGCAATGTGCTGAAAACACAAGACACCGAGCACTTGTGTCTTACGCCTAGATCTGCCGCTAATTTCACGTTAGCTTGTCTTTCCTGTCGGAGAAAATGATGTTAAGGTGCTGACTTGGTTGGCTGGTTGATAAAATAATTTATTCTGGCTGTAGAAGGTGATACGACAGAACGAGCCTTTCCTAGGAATGTAACTGTCATAACAATTTCTGTGTGGCAGGCAAGGTTCTCTGGTCTATAGGGAGATGTCCCATTTCATCACAGCAAGTGCTCTGCATCAGCTGTGGAAGAGTAAGCGAAAACAACTGCTTGGTGCTCCATGCACACCATCAGGGAGTTGGCACATGTTGTAATTCACAAAGGAGAAGCAGGTGAAGATCATCTGCTCTCCACAATGTCACTGGGATGGGTGAAGGGGCAGCATAGCCTCTTGCAGAAGATGGCAGACCCAGATCAAGCCTGCACGAGCCAAAAGAGGGATTCAGAAGTGCATCTTCCATCCTCCAGCCAACGGCTGGGCCATAAACCCACAGAACTCTGTGGTGTAGTCAGTGTGAACATCTCTCCGGACAAGAGCAAAATGACTGCAAACAGCACAGGAGTTAGCGTACATTTAAATGCAAGGCCTATTCTGGGCTTGAAAGCAAATCCCCCTCAGTTTGGATACGCTTAACATATGGTGTGCTAATGGTCTTCCAGTTTTTATTAGCATTTTTGAAAGGCTGAATTTTGTCCTGCTCCAGAATGGAAAAACCCTGGATTTTGGTTTAATTAACCTATATGTGGCTAGCCCTCATTCTGATCAGCATAAAATGCTTTGTAAGTTATCAGTGAAGAGCACTATTTAAGAGATGTTATTCCTTGGGTGTCCTGGAAGATTTAACATTTACTCCGTATGCTCTAAAGTGTCGTTAGTCTGCAAATCCAAAACACCATTTCAGACAGAACAAAGGCAGTCCTCTTCAGCAAGTACTAATTTCACAGGAAGTTTTAACTTCCAAGATTCATCCATATTTTAGTGTAAGTTTCATTTGCAGTTATTTCATGCAGTTTTCTGCTTGAAAAAACTGTGTTAGCTTTAGGAGATAGTATATCTTGTCAGCCTTCGTAATGCAAAAAAACAGTTAAAGCTATTACTTGGCTTAAACGCTTGGGAAGAGAATTCCTCCTCAAAGAAGTTTTGCAAAACTTGAAAGAAAAATGGGAACTGAAGCTCAGAACGGAAATAATTTTGCAGCCTGAATTGCAGTGGAGGTGAACGATATGGGCTGGAACATAAAATCCTTATTTCTGCTATTACAATGCTGGAAGGCAGATGTTATTCACCAGAAAAGACGAACATCATGAGCTCCAGCCAGTCGAAAACTGAAAAGGCTGGTTTCTGGAAGGTGGCTCTCTTTTATAAACAGTACTATCATAGCTAAGTTACTCTGTAGTGCCTATTGACTGAGGCTCGCAATTGCTGCACTCCCTATGGCAGCACGAATGCTGTCGGACTATCAGGTTAAAGTGAGCAATTGCAAGTCTAACCCATGAGCCACCATTAGCAGCAGTTCCCATTGCAGCAGAACCACCTTCAGTCTTCCTCCTGTTCCTGCGAAGTGGCAGCAGGCCAAAAGGGATTGAATCTGCTGCCTCTCATTGTTCTGACAAAATTGAAGTAAAGGTATCCAAACAGAAGAGTGTCCCAGATCAATGCTTCCTGCTTTGAAAATAAACATTCCATCTTTCCTTCTGTATTCACTGAATTTGCCATTTATGCAGCAGCAGGAGACCATTATCTTGTGACAATGTTCTGCTCTACTGACATTACCTCTTAATTATATCTTCATTAAAACCAAATTAGAAAGCGGTCAGGAAAGTTAAGCCAACTGAATTGCTCATTTGGCTGAACATCCCGACACCTTTTTTTTCAGAAAAGTGATGCTGGCTCACTCAACAAAATGTTTAACGATCCACCTCGCTGCTGGGAAGTGTTTATTTTCACTTTAAATGGTGAACCTGCTGCTCAGTCACACTGCATTCCTTCTGAAAGTATCATGCTTAGTTAAATACTAGCATGGCCTTATTGCTGGTTTTGCCCATACCTGCGAGGTGGTGATGTTAGATTGTGTTTGCCACTGTTATCTCTTTACATCATTTCTTCATTAAAGCTGAAATAACCTATGCCTGATGAGTATGGGAAGAACCAGGAAATTTCACTCCCCAGCAACAGAGAATTTGTGCTCCCCTGCAGCAGAGCCGGTACCTGCCTGTCACCCTTCCCTCTCCTGCACTGTGAGGACAGCTACAGAGGGATGCCAGGACAGACATCAGCTGAGACAGCCAGCTGTTGGAAACCTCTTCTTCTCCTGAAGGGCAGAGGGCAGGGCTGCCTGCCAGGCCAGCTGCAGAGGTGCTCCCTGAAGCACCCCTCACAGGAGAAGGTGCCACACACTGCCAACAACTGGCTCCTATGTCAGGCTTTTGGGTGGCCCTCTGTCCCTGACTGTGTGGACAACCCCTTTTGTCCTTCAAGTACTGTGGGAGTTGAGCAACAGTGACCCATGCCTCACGCCCAGGACTTGACAGACTTGTGTGACCAACATGGGAGGACTCAGACCTCCAGTCCTTCAGTTTTAACACCTTTCAAGCCCTGCTCCTCTCCCCAGGGCTGCAACATCCCCTAGCAAAGATTCCTCCGTAGCCTACAACAGTCAGACTCTTTGGGAACAAGTTGCAGCATTCAAACCTATCAGTTCAGGTATTACCTGTCAAGTGCATACACAAGACGTCTCACAAATATCATAAGCCACATGAACCTCTCTCCACCAGGAAGACAGAGATAATTATCCTCCATGAGCCTATAGACTCAAAGTGCCACAATTGCCAGTGTTTGGCAGCACAGGGACACGCTCGCTATCACCCAGTATTCTTGTCATCACAGTTAAATATTAGGGAGCAATCAATTAATAGTTAAGTATAATATGGGGAAAAATACAGAGGAATATTTTTTTTAAGACCTATTCTACATAAAGCTATATAGATGAGAAAAAGAAATGTTTCACTTTGAGCAAATAACAGAAATCAGACCCCTTATAACACAGGTCTTCAAGTGAAGAGAGTTTGCAGAGTTTCAGTGAAGAAAGCCAGAGGCAAAGTCTACCTGTGAACCTGGACAGCTCACCGTTCATGCTAAGCAGCTTTGGCAGCCAGAACTGCACAAGAAGATGGGAATTCTAAAATCATGGATTCCTTGGTTCCAGTGATCTGCAGCTGCAGTTTAAGTAAGGGAAAATATACACTTTTGGTCCGAAAATTGACGGGAAAAGAAGGAAGAAGGGGTACTAGCTCCTTTATGTTCAAAGTTTAGAGTAGGAAAATTTGTAATTCTATTACATGGATGCTACCATGTCAGACCATAGGGGGAAACAGCAACCAGCTCCCCATTACACCTTTGAAGGGTGATTTAATATGGAATTTCCAAAGACAATCAGTGCTGGCACTAATGTCGGTGAATGTACCACATACTTACAATGTCTGACGCGCATAAGGAGAAATTTTGGCACTTTGGAGCTCTTGGTCCAATCCTGCTTGTCCCTTCACCTCTCAGATGCATAGCTGCAGGGAAATGACTTCACCTGTCACGAAGTGCAGTAGGGAAGTAATTCTTAAAAGATGATAACCTGCCCAGGGTGTAGTTGATGGATTGTGTTGCATTTGGGGTGGAGAAAATAATCAGAAGAAAAATGAGCACAAGAAGAATGATACAAACCTATCAATCAAGGAGTTATAATGAATCTCTTTGGTTTGTGTAAACTAATGCAAAGGAGAAACATTGTGTGTTCAGCCAGGCTATTGTTTCTTTAAGGGCTGTACCTTACATTTTATAGCTGTATTTTATAGATAATCTATGATGCTTCATTTCTGTTCAAAATAAACCTGAATTAGAAGGAAAAAAGGCAGGGAGATAGAAAGAGAGAACATGCAGCACAAATGAAGCTGATGCAATCATTTCCAGTTCTAAAACAGAGCAGGTAAGATGAGGATGCGGCTGGTTTAGTGATCACTGTAATCAGCACAATTGACTGCTTACAGATGACTAATTTTCAGTTCTAGGGAGGTAAATTGAGACTTACATATTTCAGCTTTATGCTAGCACTACAGGTAATGTAAGACAAACGGTCTGTGAATTCCTAATACCAAAGATATTTGTGGATTATAAAAGAGCACAGAATGTAGACACGGGGTAAAGTTATGGAAATACAGATTTGTATTCAGATGAAATTTAAAACAAGCCTTGAGGTGAATTTTCTTTCAGTTTAATTATTCCTTGGATCCATTCAGACCCATCTGTATGTTAATCAAAAGTGATCATAACGGTTTTGTTGGAAAATGGAAAATGGATCTCGATAGATGCTCATTATATTTAATTTTGTTAACAGCTGAAGAATCAACAAGAGGAATGAACTTAATACAGCAAGAAATGAGGTTCTTAAAAAGAGGAATGAAGAGTAAGATAGAAAATTATTAAATTAAAGAACTAAAGCTGTGCTGGACATCCTAATTAAAATATACAGAGAAATGATGGAGCAGGGGACATATGAGAACCGACAGATGTGGATAAACAGCAGAGGAGGAGAGCATGGGAAGTTATCCTAGGAAAAGAAGGGTAAGACAGGACACAAAGGCAAAGTTCCCGGACAGAATGCATTCCTTCTGTCCAACAACAAGGACAATGATGCAGGGAACAGAAGGTACGGGACAGGGTGCAACCTATGGGAGTGTGACCCCAAAAGCAAAGGGATAAGTGGCAGCTTTTGGTCAGAATGAAGCAGGTGGGAGGTAGGTCAATGCACTGGCAGCAGTTTGCAGAGTCGTCTGACTAAGATAAACCACCACTGCTATTTTGCTCTCACTCCACACTGACATTACAGCCCTCTGACTAGGAGGGGTGACCAGGTTCATCCTAGAGAAAGAAACACATTCAGCTCTGTGAAGTCGAAACACTTCATAGGAAAAGACACCAATTCATTTTTTATATTTGTATATACTTTTACTGAAAAAAAAAAACCAAAACCGTGTTGTCTGAGTCCCAAACACAATTTTGCTAACAGATAACAGGTCATGCCTTTGAGAAATCTGATCCTCCCTGGGTTCCACAAACAGCACCAATGCATCTAAACTAGTCTTCTAGGCAGCTTTTGCACAAGGTCATGTCAAGGAAAATCACCAATATGTGCTGCTATTACAGTCCGTACTTCATTAAGGCAAAATCTAATCTTACCCAAAGCCACTTCTTAGCAGAGGTGACATTATAAGAAAAGGGGATTCTTGCTCCAGCCCTTACCAGGCATTTTCTTGCGTGGCTTGCTGGCAGTGTGTAGTTGGTTGGGCTGTGTCACCAGTGAGTCACAGAGGTACAGAAAACTGTTTTTGAGCTCTGAAACTTCCTTCTAAAGAGGAAAACCATTGTGTACTTCAACAGCCATAGAAGGAAGGACATGACACTCACAGCCTTCCAGAAAGATGGAGGTCAGCCAGGGAAAGGAGGTGGGGAACAGTTCTCAAAATCAGAGGAAGCGTGATGGCCCACAGTTTGAGGAGGATGGTGTCATCAGGTGATGACATTAGACATTAGACATTAGACCATGCAATGATGTCACAGTGGAAAAGAACCACCCCAGCTGCCAGCACCCTGCAGGGACCAAGAGATAGCCTGAAAGGGAGCATCAAGATAGTGATGAGGGAGTAGGACTTGTCCACAGAGGACATCAGGGGACAGGACTGGGGTAGGAGAAAGCAGGCTATCATGCCTTTGCCTTATGGCTGTTGTCCTTATCATAAGATACTGAAGGAAAATGGGCAAGAAGTTATAGAGGAAATCATGTTGACTAATGTCCATGTTGACTAATGTTGACTAATGTCCATGCTGAACTTCCAGTTTTATTCGGAGCATTTCAACAGTACAGACAAAACTCACTGAAGAGAAAGGATGCAGAGAAATAGCAAAGCAGTGAAAATGGCACATAATAGTTCTAGGTGAGAAATTAAAATAATGAATGAATAATGTTACAAAGTGATGTTTAATGACTCCAGCTTTTGAGTTGAAAAGACAATAGAGCCTATACACAGCTAGTGAGTAAAAAATCTTTAATTACTAACACATCTTTATCACAGGATGGCTCTGCAAAGCCCCTTTTTTTCCTCTACTGTCTTTCCCCAAATTATAAGAGTGCCACTAAATTCTAGCCCCCAGGAAAAATAAGTAGGTTACATATGCCTAACTTTTAGCTGTTGTTAGCACTGATGTCACTGAAGTCAAAGCATCGAATTCTTGATGCTGGGCAGCTTCCTGCCCATTTTTATTCTCTTCTGTTTTGACTTGAGGTGCTTGAAATATCACAGTTTTAAATCAAAAACATTAGTATATTAGTACCTTATAGTGATAAATGTCTACATTATCTTCTTTCTTGAAGAAGGCATTGCAGCCATGAATTTTTCATGTCAAAGCTAATATAGTCACCCATGGATTAAATTACACTGTTGACAAAAAAAAAAAAAAAAGAAGAAGATTAAAAGAAAACTATTTTTAGCTATTTAGAAACAAAGTTATCTTAAAAGCCATGGCAAAGCTGAGGGATGGAGTGATGGGACAACATCACAAGCAATTCTCTGCACAGTGGGCGACTGAGATAACCACTGTTACTATTTCCTTTTTCTATCTACACTGAGCATTTCACCTTTAAAGAACTGCATGAGGAGAGCAGTGGCAGTACCATGATCACCATCCTCAGTGGATGGCACATGTCACAGACAATATCAGTCTGCCAGTAGGATGTCCTCTGCTTTTGACTCAGCAGGGTGTCTCACAGATCATGGGGAGCTGAAGGCTGGGACAGAAAAAGGACTCCTTAGTATCACCCTTGTTTCAAGCCTGTGAATACGTCCTGTTCTACTGGGAATGGAAAGTAAGGGCTCAGAGCAGGTCCACAAGAAAACTCTCTGAGCCTTGTTCTGTATCAGCTTTGCTTAATTCAAATGGGCAGAGTGAAGCCTAAGCAACAGCAGATCAGAACAAGTAGTGGCAATATATGTATAAAGGACATGCAATCCTTAGTTCTTGGCTTATGATTCAAAGAGCAACTGAAGAAACAGAAGAAAAACACAACTTGGCTACAAACATCATCACAGAAACATGGTGGGATGGCTCCTATGACTGGAGTGTTGGAATAGAAGGTTACAGACTCTTTAGAAAAGACAGGCCCGGCAGGTGGAGAGGGGGAGTTGCCCTTTATGTTAGGGATACGCTGGAGAGTATGGAACTCTGTCTGGGGATTGGTGAGCAGTTAACAGAGAGCGTGTGGGTCAGTGTTAAAGGGAAAACAGCGATGGGAGACATTACTGTGGGGATCTGTTACAGACCGCCTGACCAAGGAGAACCTGCGGATGAAGCACTCTACAGACAGATAGGGAAAGCCTGACACTTGCAGGCCCTTGACCTCATGGGGGACTTCAACCACCCTGATATCTGTTGGAATGATGGTAGGGCCCAGCACAAGCAATCCAGGAGGTTCCTCGATTGTGTGGAAGACAACTTCCTTCCACAAGTAATAGAGGAGCCGACAAGGAGAGGTGCCATGCTTGACCTTGGGCTCACCAACAGGGAAGGGCTCGTTGGAAATGTGACGCTCCAGGGCAGCCTTGGATGCAGTGACTACGAGATGGTAGAATTTGAGATCCTCAGGACAGTGAGAAGAGCGTGCAGCAAGCTCACTGCCCTGGACTTCAACAGAGCAGACTTTGGCCTCTTCAGGAACCTGTTTAGTAAGGTTCCATGTGATATAGCCCTAGAGGGCAGGGGGGCTCAAGGCTGTTGGTTGGTATTCAAGGATAACCTGCTACAAGCTCAGGAGTGTTGTATCCCAACTAGAAGGAAGTGCAGCAGGAGGGCCAGGAGACCTCCTTGGATGGATAAGGAGCTGCTGAGGAAAGTTCAAAGGAAAAAAGAGGCTTATAAAAGGTGGAAGCAAGGAGAGGCAGCCTGGACAGAATACAGGGATGTTGTCCAGGAAGCTAGGGAGCAGGTTAGGAAAGCTAAGGCCCAGTTAGAATTAAACTTGGCTTGGGATGCTAAAGATAACAGGAAGGGATTCTACAGGTACATTTCAAATAAAAGACAGACTAGGGACATTGTGGGCCCCCTCAGGAAGCTCTCGGGAGAACTGGCTGCCCTGGATTTGGAGAAGGCTGAGGTTCTGAATGACTTCTTTGCCTTGATCTTCACTGGCAAAGGCTCTGACCACACCACCCAAGTCTTGGAAGGCAGATGCAGGGACTGTGAGAATGAAGACCTTGGGCCCACTGTAGGAGAGGAACTGGTTCGAGACCATCTTAAAAATCTGAACGTGCACAAGTCCATGGGACCTGATGAAATCCATCCGCGGGTCCTGAAGGAGCTGGCAAATGAAGTTGCTAAGTCACTGGCCATCATATTTGAAAAATCATGGCAGTCAGGTGAAGTTCCCAACAACTGGAAAAAGGGAAATATAACCCCCATTTTCAAGAAGGGGAAAATGGATGACCCAGGGAATTACAGACCAGTCAGTCTCACCTCTGTGCCTGGCAAAATCTTGGAGCAGGTTCTCCTGGAAGGCATGCTAAGGCACATGAAAAACAACAAGGTGCTTGGTGACAGCCAGCATGGCTTCACTAAAGGGAAATCCTGCCTGACGAATTAGGTGGCCTTCTATGATGGGGCTATGGAACTGATGGACAGGGGTAGAGCAGCTGACATCATCCACCTGGACTTGTGCAAAGCCTTAGACACTGTCCGACATGACATCCTTGTCTCTAAATTGGAGAGACATCAATTTGATGGATGGACCACTCAGTGGATAAAGAACTGGCTGGATGGCTGCGCACAAAGAGTTGTGGTCAATGGCTGGCTGGAGACCAGTAACAAGTGGTGTCCCTCAGGGATCAGTGTTGGGTCCGGTCTTGTTCAACATCATTGTCACTGACATGGACAGTGGGATTGAGTGCGCCCTCAGCAAGTTTGCCGATGACACCAAGCTGTGTGGTTCGGTTGATACGCTGGAGGGAAGGAATGCCATCCAGAGGGACCTTGACATGCCTGTGAGGTGGGCTGATCCAACCTCATGAAGTTTAACCATGACAAGGGCAAGGTCCTACACCTGGGTTGGAGCAATCCCAGGCACAGCTGCAGGTTGGGCAGAGAAGAGATTCAGAGCAGCCCTGTGGAGAAGGACTTGGGGGTGTTGGTTGATGAGAAACTGAACATGAGCTGGCTTCAGTGTGTGCTTGCAGCCCAGAAAGCCAACCGTATCCTGGGCTGCATCAAAAGAAGCATGACCAGCAGGTCAAAGGGGGTGATCCTGCCCCTCTACAGTGCTCTTGTGAGACCTCACTTGGAGTACTGTGTGCAGTTCTGGTGTCCTCAACATAAAAAGGACACAGAACTGTTGGAACAAGTCCAGAGGAGGGCCATGAGGATGATCAGGGGACTGGAGCACCTCCCATATGAAGATAGGCTGAGAAAGCTGGGGCTGTTCAGCCTGGAGAAGAGAAGGCTGCCTGGAGACCTCATAGCAGCCTTCCGGTATCTACAGGGGGCCTATAGGGATGCGGGGAAGGGACTCTTCATTAGGGACTGTAGTGACAGGACAAGGGGTAATGGGTTAAAACTTAAACAGGTGAAGCTGAGATTGGATATAAGGAGGAAGGTCTTTACTGCGAGGGAGGTGAGGCACTGGAATGAGTTGCCCAAGGAAGTTGTGAATGCTCCATCCCTGGCAGAGTTCAAGGCCAGGTTGAACAGACCCTTGAGTGGCATGGTTTAACGGGAGGTCTCCCTGCCCATGGCAGGGGGTTGGAACAAGCTCATCTTAAGTTCTTTTCCATTCCTAACTATTCTGTGATTCTAAACAGGAAAAACATGGATTTTCCTTCTTAGCCATATATTAGTCTTACAAAGCAAGCTTGCCTAAAGTTTGAACAAGATTGACGCAGCAACCCCCTTTTGCTTGTTGTCCAACAAAGATCAATTTATGAGTAAAAAATGAGAATTTGTATATATGTCACTTCTGTGTCCTCTTTTTCCACTTTCCCCATCATCCTATCTCTTCAAACCATGACTCTTCCCATGACATGCCCATCCAGCTCTTCCCAGTTTTCAAGCTTGCTGCACTCTAACCTCATGCCTTGATCCTTCACCACATTATGCAGTTCTACTGGGTTCCTATAGGCTCATTGGTGAAAGAACCACTGCATTATTTGGAGGCAGGACACAAAAAAGCAACCAAATAATTGGTGCCAATTTCCTCCTTTGACACTCTTCCACAGGGCTGGAAGAGATTGAGCAAGACCTAGGCATTCAGATAACATGCTGTGTCTTTTTTCTGTGATAGACGGAGACTTCCCGGTGTTCACAAATACACTTGAAAATTAATCCATTGCTCTACATTTGAGTAAATATGTTGCATTTTCAGCCCTGCTGGAACCTAGCATTGCTGCTTGCAGACAGAAGGTGCTGTCATATTCCTGAAAGCATTTTTATTCCTACAGAATTAATTACAGCATCAAATAGAATTTGACTCTTCTC